GGACAGGTGTCAGTAGCTTCAATAAATCCAATTCCCAGTTTTCAACATATTACATTACATTAATTTGTCCATATTTCAGATTTTGCGGATTTACTTTAATTCATTTCTATGATATTCTTATATTTTGGTATTCATGTATTGTTTCATGATTGTATTGAAGAAGACAAAAACAATGATTTTGTCCTCTGTGAGATGTAATCTGACATTTCTTTTGAATCAAACATTTGAATTTAAACCCTTCAAAGAAGGGAAAATCCTTTCATTTCCAGAATGGGACCGAGCATTCATTATATTTATTGCTGTCTATACCCAAAGATTTCATGATCAAACCCCTCACCTCTTGAAATATATATCACCTTGTCCCTTTAACCACACCTGCCCAACTTCCAAAATGTTACTCCCGCAACAACGGCAGGCAAGCCCAATTCCCCAACAAAAAGCGCTCAGGTACTGGAGACTCCAAAAAACCCTTCGAGTGAACTTATGTCAACACAAGTTGTTACTTCAGTTAAACCTGAAAGACTCAGATATTGGCTTGAAGGCTATGAACATCAAGAAGAAACAGTTCATGGTTTCTAGTACGGATTTAAATTTCCTCACTCTGATTTGCCAGAACATTACAACATTACTCATGATAATTTGTCATCATATCTAAGAACCCAGAAGCTCTCAAAAAATTAAACAAAGAGCTTGAAGCTGGTAGAATACTTGGACCTTTTGACCAGCCACCATTTGATATTATTTCACCCTTATTTCTCGTTCCTAAAAATCTCCAGGTGAATTCTGTGTTATTCACAACTTATCACATCCCAGAGGCCAACCCATAATGATACTATCCCAGACGAAACTTTTACAGTTAAATATGCAACCGTACAACAAGCCATAGATATTATAAACATTTAGGAAAAGGTTGCTTCTTGTGTAAGACTATTAGAAGCTTGTTTGCTCATGGAAATGGCAAAACAATCATTGACACTTTATGTAACATCAACCCCTTTACCATTAAGCCAAAACCAAAGAAAGTCTCAAAGAGAACTTTTATCTGCTATAGGATTCCTTAGCTACTGTTGTTGTGTGATTCCTTTCGGTAGATCATTTATTTCATTATTTATTCATCTATCTAAAAATGAAGGAGCTACATTATAAAATCTTAATCAACACTCCATCTATGCAGGATTTATTAATGTGGAAATAGTTTCTAATTCCCTTTAATGGGAAATCTATTTTCCTTACAGAAGAACAAGAGACAAGAAACAATTGCATCTTTTACCGATGCTTCTACTACGATAGGCTATGGAGCCGTTTGCAATAATCTTTGGTTTAAAGGGGAATGGCCATCAGATTGGAAAGAATTGGACATCAATATTCTTGAATTATATCCTATTGTTACTGCTATACTTACATAGACAAAACTTATGTCTGGACATACAGTTATCCTGCATTCTGACAATGAAGCAGTATTGAACATACCGAAATAAATTTTCTACCAGCAATCAAACGTCCTTGCAACTCTTGCTTCCTATATATTAAAATGTCTCTTAAACAATATCATGTTCAAAGTGAACACATTGCTGGTATTCTTAATTCTGCTGCTGACGCTTTATCTAGAAACAATTTATGTTACTTTTTATCTTTTTAGAAGCACTTCAAGCTGCCCAAGCCCCGTCTACCAGAAAGTCATATGATTTATTAGTACAGTTCAACTCCCAGACAGGTATAGGTGAATTTCCTCTAACCCCAGCCTCTGCTAGCCTTTTTGCAGCACATCTTCGTTTAAAGAATTATCCCCCTAATTCATTCAAGTCAGTTCTGTCTGGTATATCTTTTTTATCATATTTTCTCAATTAACAATTTCAAGGATCCCACTACTTCTTATGTAGTTTCTCAAATAGTTTCTGGTTTTTGTAAACTAAATCCTAGCATAGACACTAGATTGCCAATCAACACAGCCTTGTTAGAACAAATGGTTTCTATAACTTCTGAAGTAGATTTTGACCCTTTTGCTCAAGTCTTGTACAGAGCTACTAGTATGTTATCTACAGCCTTTTTGGCTTACTAAGAAGTAGTGAGTTGACAAGTACTTCCGCAGGACACAACTTACAGTTAGAAAGTATTAAATTCTCTCCCGATGAAGCCTTTTTCATTATTACTTTTTCACATTTTAAACATAGCTCATCTCCTGCTACGATATCAATTAATTCTCAATTACCATCTTGTTGTCCAGTATTACATATGAAGTTGTACCTGAACATAAGGTCCTTTAAATCAGGTCCTTTTTCATTTATAGAGATGCTCCAGTGAATACTTCTGTATTTAACAATTTTCTTCACAAACTCTTTGTTCAATGTCAGGTAGATCCTACCTTCTATAAATGCCACAGTTTGCGGTTAGGCGGAGCTACATGGGCCACAAATCTTGGACTTGATGACTATACTATCAAAAGATTGGGAGATGACATACATACATACATTAAAAAATATTTTAGGTAGACATTTATAAACTCAGACTGGTGTCGAGTATGCAATTTTCATTAAAGCCCCAAAGTTGCTCAGACAGGTGTCGAGTATTCAATTTTCATGTAAACCCCAAAGTCGGCTCAAACAGGTGTCGAGCATGCAAATTTCAAGTAGCTACTGTTTTTTCTTCATGATGTACTAGAAATTTAATTGAGATAAACCCGCACTTTCTGAATTCAAAAATTTTCATTCAATTCTAATTCCTTTATCTTACCTGAGATTGACAGCATATTACATTACATTACATTAATTTGTCCATCCATATTTCAGAATTTGCGGATTTACTTTAGTTCATTTCTATGATGTTCTTATAATTTGGTATTCATGTATTGATTTGTGTGTATCAATAAATGATTTAACTACTTTCTAATTAATCTTCTTTTCTTTTGGGCTCTCGCGAGAGATCGCGCATGGCCTTATTTTCGCCCAAGAAGATGAGTTGGAGATGGTATTATAATATATCCAATTGAGCTAATTAACAGTTATGTCAAATTGTAAACTCTTGTAGCTAATTAACTTAAATTAGCCATTATTTTCCAAGGTATTGTGTTTTGTGTTAATTGGCTCAATATTTATTTATATTAATTTTATATTAATAATTTTACATGTACGACTCTCACGGCCATATCTATACTCTACATGAACATAAATTCAAATTATTGACAATAATTTCATTTATGGCAATGTGAGAGTCGGTTAAGGTTTAGGTATGAACAAGCCCTAAGAAGACCATTCCCCGGTTATCCCAGGTAAATGTTTCTGGTAAGTTACACTGAACGAAACATCAAGCTTCAGATCTCGAGAGTACGAGATGAGACTTTAGACGAGATATCGATAGGATTGTAGTTGGAGGGTTTTCTCCCTAGGTGCGTACAAAATCCATTAACATCAATGTAAGTTATACATTTCGATTCTTTTCCCTCACCTCCTTCCCCAGCTTACACCACCAGTTGGAGATTTATTTTCGCCCAAGAAGACGAGTTGGAGATGGTATTATAATATATCCAATTGAGCTAATTAACAGTTATGTCAAATTGTAAACTCTTGTAGCTAATTAACTTAAATTAGCCATTATTTTCCAAGGTATTGTGTTTTGTGTTAATTGGCTCAATATTTATTTATATTAATTTTATATTAATAATTTTACATGTACGACTCTCACGGCCATATCTATACTCTACATGAACATAAATGTGTTAATTCTGTGTTAACTGCAACTTAAGCTTTACAATAAATAATTGTGTCTGCCACCTAAATGAGAACATACCAATGCTTCATTAGCTATTATACGTTATTGGCTTCATCATGGTTGATCAGAAACTTACCTTATTTTAGTGGGATCATAGATCTTGGGGATTGAAAAATCTTGGGATCATTAGATATTGAGAATCATTAGATCAGTCGGGATCTGACCCCTTTTCCAAATCAAACTACATGTATTTTGTGCTAACATATTTTTCTGAAAAGGATTCGACCCCTCCCCCAATCAATATCTAATAGTTAGACTTGTTCCACTTTTTAAGTGTATGCTGAAGGTTTCTCCACCACATCCTTATTGCCCAGGACAGAGACATTAAATAAATATAGATTATCCTATATGACGTTCGGCATGGGATAAATATCTTTTATATGTCTCAGCTGAGACTAACATAAAATGTTATGTTAGTCTCAGGTCTCAGCCAGGTATTATTGAGCACATGCATCGATTAGAATGAATAGCACAACAATTTTATAACAAGAACAAAACATGTCACCTCAACATATATCAACATATAAAACTAAAATCCTAACCAAAATAAATCAAAATCCTTCAAACATCCAAGACATAGGGATGTTCATTATTTGTAAACCAAGCCAGGGGAATTCAAGGAAAAATCTGAAATGTCAATTATAAGACACCACAGGATGCCATTTTTTACAGTAGGGGTTTGCTCAAAATTGGAATGTCTGTCAATGGTCCTTTTTCAAGATTTTCTTCTATTTGATGGCATATTTGAATTCTTCATGTAATTTTCTATCAAAACAACTTTGATTTGCAAAATTCAAATTCATATCATTTACTCTTACAAGGATCACAATCTTAATGTGAAATCACTATCCACATGTCAATAAGATCATATAGTTACATTCCAATGGTGTGATAAGTTGATCCAAATGAAATTACTTCTTAAATCAAGAAATTAAGTAACTCTGGCAATACATTTACATGTATTCTAGCCCTACCATAGCCCTACCAATCCCCATGATGCCATCTATTTTCCATTTATATGGAAAAGGTAAAATAGTATATTTGTGTCTATTGTGGTCATCCATTGTTTTCAAATATAGATTAAATCCCTCAGATTGATCCATAGAGCAAGGCACAAAAATCCAAGGTAAATCAAATTCGACTGCTTAAACCACAGGAGTATTACAGTTATCAGTTATGGATCAGATTCAAAATATCACAATGATAGAGTTGCAAACTATAAACCCTAGACTACATCATTTTTCTTCATCACTTTGATACACCATCATCCAACACAGCAGGGCTCCAAAATCCATAATACCTTCTACAAAGATGATGTTCAGAGGATGTGATACGCTGACATGACCCCTAATTACAAGCAATCTGAACTCTTTTCCAGAGAGACTAGTAACATGGCCATCTCAGGGTGTGAGAGATAAAGATAATCTAATTAGTGTTAAAGTAACACTGTTAGCCCTTATCTGAACATGTGCTCATCTTAATGTGAATGGGATATTTGTCTATTAAGTGTTTTATTGCTTAAATTAGCACATTAAAGATAGAATATCAACAACTGGCAAACTGTCAAATGACTGTTAGTGTTTGATGTTACTGTTTGAGTACAAAGTAAGGGAACCCTAAATTGTATGAAATACAGATAACTAAATCAAACTATCAACATTAATTGTTAATTAGCACTACTTGTACATCATCATGTTAATCTTATCACCTAATTAAGAAATGGAAACGAAAATAAACAATATTTAGCTCATCAACAATTGACAATCCAGAGATTAATTGTCAAAATTAAATTTAATAATATCACAAAAATGTAAGAGATCAAGATTAAAGTGGAGGAAAATAATATTAAAAGTCAACTGAATGGAAATGTCTTTAAATGTTTTGTTAGTCTGAAGAAAATATATATTAAGAAACACTTAATCTAGAAACTGATTGGATATCACTGTTACAAGACTAATATTCGTCAACCTTTCAACTGAGGTGTACTAACAAAAATAATTGTTCAATCCCACATCTAAATCCAGTAGTTGTACAGGGTAGGTCAGAAATTTAAAAAGTTACAACAATCTTAAAAACTGGCATTTTTTGGCCCACACTATACAACCATATTTTGTAACAAACACCAAACAAAAACTTGAGGCAAAATAGTTTTTTGGAGCACCCTACATGGTACATATATGTTAGGGAATTTCCTAAATATTTTCTAACATGTTCAATATTTATAGAATATCCTATGATTTTAAGGAATATCATTTTTATCTACGAGGTGATATTGATATCTGCACGAGAGAGCGAAGCGAACGAGTGCATTTATCAATATCACCGAGTAGATTAAAATGATATTCTGAAAAAAGTCATAGGATGTTCTTATTATCCTACACTTACAAGGAGTGTACTAAATGTATAATATCATTGCAAAATGAATTCCATGCCAAATAGAGTGAATTTGGCGGGAAATCAACAAGCGGAGTATATCGTCACAATATCCTCCGCATATTGGGTTTTCCGAAGTATATCGTCACGATATCCTCCGCCCGGAGTATATCGTTACGATATCCTCCGGATATTGATTTTGCCAATAAATATCAAATTTATTTGTTAATGTTATTATACATTTAGTACACTAAGTGTAGGATAATACATAGTATTTATTTTATTCTACTATATTAATATGCATTTTAGCATTACAAAATTCTGATACATTTTTATGTAGTATCTAGAACAAAATACATGTACATTTTTCATCCTACTGCTACGCATATATTACCCAGCACAATAGATATATCATCTCACACAACATAATGTACTGTCAAAAACTACAAGTAATATTTTACCATATACATGTACAAGACATTCATGGATTAAAGTTATTAAACACTACAATCTACATCTCACATTTCACATATATTATTGTATCACATCAACACACCCATTCATCACTGTGTACTACATTCACTTGTTTACACACAATATCAAAACATACACCATGTTGCAAACAATGTTAGGAAAATGATTTTCTTCTCGGGGTAGAGGATGTGCACCATATCCCAAAACAAGTGTTTTCATGACACTAGTGTTCTACGAATCTACAAATCCAGCATCGGAATGAAAAGAATGGATTAACTGGGTTAATATTTCAATATAATATTCTCAAGAATGCAATTTACAAAATAAGAAGATACATGGTTGACATCTGTATTAAGCCATGCATTTTACAAGAGGAGGGAAAACCCCAGAGTTTTAGAGATGACAGACATATCTATGTAACAGAATACAACATGTCATTGTGATATTTTAATCAATGTTAGCATATTCCTTACATATGCTTACATTATCGACATATGTCTTCATTGAACCCTGTGGTTATTCCCCCTCTTTAATTTACAATATGAGAAGATACATGGGTGACATCTATATTGAGCCATGTGAGTTAATAACATACCTATGTCATCAAATTGTTCATCAAAGAAGACTCCAAACTGCATATCTTGGATGTCTTCACATGGCTTCCTATCATTTCTGCAATTCAGATTTTGGGTTATCAATATCATCAGTGCATTGTATTTGAAGAACTTAAAATATTTCAAACAGGCTTAATATGGAATAAATGTATGCCTGTTCAGTGAATTCAAGTGACATCTATGTTTTTGAAGAGATTGCAAATAAAAGTAAGCCATCATTAAAGCAGAGACATATAAAATGTCTCTGATTAAAGGTATAATACTCCGGTTCCATGAAATAGGTATGATCCAATACAATATTAGTCTAATATTGGAAAAAATTGGCTTGGTCACATACTGTATGTGATCCATGGATGCATTAGCAAACATATTCAATTCAATTTGTAGCTTACTACCTATACTATATGAATAAGATAAGATGAATGCATGTTTCTTGAGTGCAATGGTCACAACATTGAAATTAGGAATCTCCATATCTAAGAATGTCAGGTTATGTACCCCAATGACATATACCCCAGATAATGACATATACCCCAGATAATGCATATAACCCAGATAATGACCTGAACCTATGATAATGACATGAACCCCAGATAATGACATGAACCCCAGATAATGATATGAAAATATGATAATGACATGAACCTATGATATTGACACAAACCCCAGATAATGACACTAACCCCAAATAATGACATATAACCCAGATAACGACAGGAATCCCAGATAATGACATATACCCCAGATTATGACATGAACCCCAGATAATGACATATATCCCAGATAATGACATATACCCCAGATAATGACATATATCCCAGATAATGACATATACCCCAGATTATGACATGAACCTATGATAATTACATATACCCCAGATAATGACATGAACCTTTGATAATGATATGAACCCATGATAATGACAATAACAAATGTGCAACCTACCCAAAGACAGTGGGCAGAAGGAATGCATCTGGCTGGATTTTGAACATAAAGTCTGCATTGTCACACATCACCTTGGAGAGCTTTCTTCCCTTAATTTGCATCAGCTGGGCTAAAACAAAATTCCCTTTCAGTTAATTCACCTGTAAATGTTTAATATGGCCATTTGAGCACAGTATTATATGTATATAAGAGCCTACACACGCTTCAACTAAATTCAATCAAAATTCCCCCATGACACAGTAACAATATAAATTCAATAATGAAAATGTCAAATCCAAAATGCCCACCTTTTGAAAGTCCATTTTCCTTTCTCTCATACCAAAATCTGTCCCCTTTCTTCAAGTTGGAGAATTGCATGCCAAGAATACAGGCAAATGTTGGTCCCACTAGGCCCCCTGGTACTGGGTTCTCTGCAAGACCTCCTGTGAACAGGTCAATGTCATCTACATGTCTGGAATCAAATTAGGACATTTAAAATCATTCTGGTTCTGGATGAGTATGAAAGCATTGATATATTCTGCTCATAATTCACTCTGTTACAACAAAGCTTTTATTTTCACAATGTTTCCCCACAAGAGCTTATGATTCATCATTCATTTTAGCTTGCAATTCACTTTGAAAGATCATCATTCATTATGTAGCTCATAATTCACTATTCGAGATCATCATTTCTATGAGAAATCATAATTCATCACATAGCTATTGCTCGTTATTCAATATGAGAGATCACCACTCATTGTGCAACTCATGATTCACTATGCAAGCTTATAATTCATATGTAGCTCTTAATTTACTGAGAGCTCATCATTCATTATGTAGCAGATTAATTCACAATGAGAACAATTGTATTAACATGCAAAATGCCACAACCTGCCATTTGTAACAGACTATGACCGCTGAATGCCGAATACCATCTTCCAAACACCTTCCACAAAAAAACTGGATACTATTAACAATATGATGGTGACATCATTGTTATCTAAAGCTCTTAAACCATAACTACAACAGTATACTGGTTACTTACCTGTATATTTGTTGAAGTTTATCCATGGTATCAAAGTCTATGTCTCCAGTCTGTCTGAGCTGAAGGAAACTCCTCTCTCTACCCAACCCACATGCCTGCCTTGCATTGATGTATCCTGCCAAGCCATGCTCTCTGCCTCTCTAAAAACCAAGAAAACTTCAATCACAATTGTCCAATATTATATGTTCACTTTGAAACATATCTGTGAAAGCCATGACTACAGATGGCTAACAGGTGGTCTATTGGAAAACTATTAAAAGGTAACATACAACTTAAGGTGGCATATTTGGAATTTGATAGTGGAAGGGACCCATTCATCCAAACATTTGGACCCCCATTGAAATTACAAGTTCAATTTTGGTTAATGTTGGCCTTTTTGTCTAAACATGGTCCAAAACCCCTTATAACAAAACAGTAGACAGGAAAAGCTATCATTTATTTGTGATTCTTAATGATCTATTCAATTATTCTTTTGGGAATCAAACAAACTTTCCACATTAGTGCTATAGCAATGAGCCTTACAATGACCTTACCTGTAAATTAAGGGCTGCTAGATCCAGTGCATGGCCACCTTTAGCTTCATTGGGGTTTTCAAACAGATGGTCTGTTATCTGGCTAGACAGGAAGCGATCTACTTGTTGTACCTGGTAATACACAAATCTATCATTCATTTTTCTCAGGTATACCTCAGGGCTGGCTTTTTACTACTAAATCAATGTTATATTTTATGAAAGGATTCTGGGCAAATTAACTTTTACAACATGGACACAATAGACTAAACACAAAAATAGCATGGGCCTTTAGATAACAGGAATATAATCATACCTTCTGGTAGACCAAGCCATGAATAAGGGAGTCTATTCCATCAACATCCTTGTTGTAAAGTTCCTCAGGCTGGAAGAAGGCCTGACCAAGGTCTATAGATGGGAATGGGTGGTCTTCATCCAGCTTGTTGTTCATACGCATCAATGAGCCCTTAAATATGAGAGTAATACAAGCTTGGAGATGGAGTGGGTTCTTGACATTCACAAATACAGCGAAACCTGTACACCTCTGAACACCTCTTTAATCAGAACATCTTTCAATGTAAATACTTTTTCTCAATCTCATATTTGTTATCTCCCATTGACTTATATGTTAATAAAACCTTGAATTGTGAACACCTACCAATCCAAAGACTTTTGGCCACAATCCCAGATAAGAGGCATTCGGATTGGACAGGTTTTACTGTACATGTAAACAAAGGTTGTCACTTTTGACTAAAGTAAATCTAAAATACAATCAATGAGTGTCCTTGTCTATACCATACATGTCTTTGTCTTTATTTTTGATTATAAAGGCTGTTCTGTCACCTTCTATCATTTTCTCTCACCTGTTTTAAAAGTACACTCAAATGCAAATTATGTCTTACTGTCTGACCATGGATTTTTATATACCTTAATCCACGTTCATTCTTGCCACAATCATGATACATATTAAATGCAATTGAACTTGCTGTTCTCTAATTTCCGTTTCCTGCATATTCATGCCAAAAGCCAAAAGTTTCATATTACCTGAATTAAACTATGTCCAAATCTGTAAGCAGCAGTGGCAAATTCGTTCATTATTGTAGCATTTACTGTTGGATCATAAGTATCATGGAAGACTGCATCGTCAGCCACATCATCTGGGTTAAGGAATGTAGGAACTGCAGGTTTAGGTTTAAGTTGGTAGGCTTCCATGATTTGATCACCAAGAATAATAGGCAGGAATTCACTGTAAGTTATATGCTGCATAGTAGCTCCAACCATTCTCCTGGCAGTCTGGAATAGTTCAATGATAAAGAAAATACTGTATATAATGAGGAATCTGGGCATGAATGATTTATGGTAGATGTAATAATTAAGCCTCCATGAGGCCTCCAAAAACCCATGATTCACCTTGAAGTTTGAGAGAATTGAAGCAAAAATAATATATTTCATGAGGAAGCTTGGATGGGTGTAACATTATCTGTATCATCTGTAAGGACACGCAATCTTTCAGCAGTTTCAAATATCATACTAACCGAGAGACAAAAGGTGCAATAACTTAAAGTTAGTAATCCCTGAGTCCCAGACATGGCAGATAACACAGAACAGGCAAATGTTCATTGATAAATTGGTTGATTGGGAGATAGAATTGCTTCAATAGACTGAATTTTAGATGAAAGAACATTTACATTGAATAGTGTCTCATCATCCCAGAAAGGATTGACATTCTTCAGGTTCTCAGCACATCTGTTGTGCTCCCTCAGCCATATGGTGTGCATGGTGGTGAGTCCTATGTTCTCATTGGCTCTCTCATCACCTGTTTTGAATAATATCATCTATATATATATATAATAGATATAACATCTATGTGTGAAACCTCAGTCACATTTGCTCTATACTCACTATGGTGGCCATATGTTGGCTAAAGCTTCACAAAACAGATATTGAAAATATATATGTACTGCTTATCCCTATATTTTATGCAGCATATTTATCTCGATTTTGGGAAGCCACAGCCACCGTATGGTTGTTGTAGATCAAGTATGACTGAGGCATAAGTCAATCAAAATATTTTCTTGAGCTAATCCAGACTAATCACTCGACATATTAGACTTATTCAGACCCCTGGATACATACCTGCTTTAAAGCACTGCACAACTTCATTCCCATCTGGCAAGACACACTTGTCCTCATTCTCAAGGTCCTTTGCTAGAAGAGGCTTGCCAAAGGGATAGTTGTCTGTGAACTTTAATTTGCCTTTAATAAACGATAAACATAAATATAAATTACATAAATGATTTCAACAAGAAAAGATGCAACTCTCAATGAATGAAACATAACATGATAGAAATGAACGGGCAAATTCTCATTTAGACAAAAACTACACTTATGATTTAGATTATTGGAATAATCAAAATCTGGATACTGAAAATCTGGTGAACATGGTTGAAAAGAAATTAAAAATATTATTTGTAGAAAAATGGAAAAATGATTTGAACACTTATCCTATATTGAGAATGTACAAATTATTTAAAAATGATTTTGGTAAAGAATTGTATTTGAAGCTAGATAATAAAAAGTATAGATTGGCTACAAGTAGATTTAGAATGAGTTCTCATCAGTTAGCAATTGAGACTGGAAGACATACAAAGCCAAAACCAAAACCTATAGAGGAAAGATTATGTAATATTTGTAAAGATGTAGAGGATGAATGTCATTTCTTTTTAACTTGTACAAAAAATGATGAGAATAGGCAAATATTATTTACAAAAGCCCGTGAAATTTTACCTAACTTGGATTTACAAAGTGAAAATTTATTTGTCAATCTTATTTCTAGTAAAAATGTAACCTTGCAAAGACATATTGGCAAATTCATTTACCATTCATTTAAGAATTTAACATGGTCATAATGCATTGTGTGTGCACCACACTATTATTGTTACCTTATATGTTTTTATATATTTTTGTATTTTTAGTTTAGTTAGTGTTTTGTAGTTTAGATATGTAGACCATAGTTCTGACTAATGTAATCATGTTATGATACTATATGTCAATAAAAGTTATAATAATGACATGAGATAAAAAGAAATTATAATTTGAAGCAAAAATATCACAAAGGTATGAAATTTTGGAAAAAGTCCCAACCTTGAGATTACACGACGAAAGAAATTTAGAATAGAATTACAAACTCATTTCAAAACTATCACAGAACTATCACATAATATTTCTAACCAAAATACCAAAATTATGTTTCTAATCTGACAGACTGAATCTGACATATCTCAAAGAATAATAGAATATCGACAAAATGGTTATATTTTGTTGCACAGGAACATTGTACTGTTGCCTTACCATCTCTGCCATATCTTGCTTGTCGCATCTCATGTTCTCCCGAGCCATAGACATTAGAGCCATCTATATACGATGTGATCTTATTGATCTGTTGACGTTCATCTGAACAAAAATAAATTTATTAGAATGTGTAATTAAAATGAATGGTGCATCCCAAACAAAAATAAATTTGATCACTATTTTCATCCAATGAAACAGTATGGCTTTATCAGAATATACACGCAGTCTCTAGATGAAGTAATGTTCATTCTGAAGTTTGCCCAGCTATAGTAACATGAGTGAGTAGATCATGCATGCCCTATGGAAAACCTCTCTGTAAGGGACATTTCTGTGGAATATTCAACAGGATGACCCATTGACATTTTAAAGAACCCTTACTGTAAGGACCACTCGAGTGTTCCATATAAATAGGTTTTAGTATATATGACATAACAGGACATTTACCTCCTTGGCATCCTATACCTGGAGATGGGGTAGATCGTACAAAGTTCATACATTCGTGATTGAACCTTGGGTCTCCATCTGGTATCATAATCTTGAAACATTCTGGCCTGAAATAGAGATATGTAACATGAGATTGGTAACATGTCATTGTATTAATATATAACATGTCATTCTATTAATATACAATTAATAGTGTCTGCCATCAGTATAAGAGAAATAGTGAAAGTAATTTAAATATGGGGATATCCTATATACTTACTCTCAATCATAAGGCTATTTAAGATAATTTATGGTTTATTTTTCATGCATGATTAGATTCAAGAAGGATCATAATTTTAGTAAAACACTACAAATTATCAAAGCATATTTTTATGATATAGAATTAAATCTATACAGGAGAGCAAATCTGTAAGTGGAACACTTTTCAAAGTCTCATTACCCATTTTTTTAAATTGAATCTGTAAGTGGAACACCTTTTGCACACCTTCCAAGAAGTGGAATACTTTTTTGAGGTACCATTTTGATGTTCTATTTACACACATTATACCGCAGTTAATACCTTCCATATGATTCCTCAGCGCAGCAATCGATCTCAGTGTTATGTTCCCCTTTAAACATTGGTGTCAAGCTGAGATCGTGGTCTAGGATCTGCCCCCACGTCATCAACAAATGGGTATGGATTTGACTCTCAGTCTCAGATGAGTCATGCTCATGGAAAGTTGTACTGATGTGTCTTGCGTTTGGGAGCTCAGATCTCAATCGTGACATTCTTGGAGAGCCTAGACCATCTGGAAGACAGGGACACGTTGATAGATTAGAAATATCACCATTCAATCATAATTGCAAGTGATTTTGGGTTATACATGTACTTGTCACATCCAAACTCTCCCTGGAATTTTTTAAAAATTGAATCCCCTTTGCAAAAGCTGGCTACAGGCTTAATAATAATGTTATGTCTAACATTTGGTAGATTGATGATGGATGTCACAATAGGAGGAATAACTAGATAACAGCAACACCAAAGAGAAGCAAATCACATCTAACATATAATAATAATAATGAGTGTCAAATATTTCAGAATGTCACTTTTAAAAGGAATATTGTAAGATATGGAAAGGTATTCCCTATAATACAGAAATCATGTACTCAGTCATGTAGAAATCAGTATATCATCTTGAAGCAGAAATGTACCATTCATACCTGCATATTCTGCAGGGGCCAATCTGCCCATAGGGACCCCAGCTGAAATGTGACATTCATACCTGCATATTCTGCAGGGGCCAATTTGTCTAGAGGGATCCCAGCTGAAATGTACCATTCATACCTGCATATTCTGCAGGGGCCAATCTGCCCATAGGGAGCCCAGCTGAAATGTACCATTCATACCTGCATATTCCGCTGGGGCTAATCTGCCCATAGGGACCCCAGCTGAAATCTACCATGCATACCTGCATATTCTGCAGGGGCCAATCTGCCCATAGGGAGCCCAGCTCAAATGTACCATTCATACCTGCATATCCTGCAGGGGCCAATCTGTCCGGAGGGACCCCAGCTGAAATGTACCATTCATACCTGCATATTCTGCAGGGGCTAATCTGCCCATAGGGACCCCAGGTGAAATGGCCCATAGGGACCCCAGCTGAAATGTCACATTCATACCTGCATATTCTGCAGGGGCCAATCTGCCCATAGGGACCCCAGCTGATCCCCACAGAGGATGCTCTAGGTTGTTACAGGAGCCATCCATGGTCCTGTATGGATAGTCTGGGTCACATTCTGGCACATTGATATCAAATGGACATTCAAGTGTTGCCTGACGCTTGGCACGCGAAACACTGGAAAAATACATTGATTTAAAAGTAGTAAATGTGGTTTTGATATCTTACTGGGAATGTTATCTTACTTGCAGAATTATTTTACAAAGCATTATTTTCATTGCTCATTTTCATTTAAATGCCCAGCCTAGTTCACAGAATTAAAAATCTAATACACAGATTTAGTGATGTATTCATGTAGTTTGGCAAAGTGTATCCAATTTCAGCCAATCAGAACACACTATTTCACGTAACTGCATTCAGTTATATAACTAATAAAATAAAAAACTCAAGGTCACTAGTTAAACAGTTATCATGGTGATGACTGGACTCTACAGATTGAAATTGATACTTTGCCAGCTTGACCCGTACAAAAGTTTCATTGAAAATATGTTCATTTAGTGATTTTGTATCTTTTCGTATCTTTTAGATGGTTTTGTAGAATTCTGAAAATATTTTGCAATTTGTGAAAAGAATTTCAGCCAAAGACTCAATGTACTGTGTAATGACAATTCCTTTTATTTAGGCATTGTTTCCTAAAATTAACACTCGATGGTGCACATCTCGTGCAAATTTTGGAAAGCAACACCTTCAAAGAATGGTCGTTCCACATTGCACCGAGGGCTTAAATTCTTCAGTGAAAAGCTATCTTGAGTTTCTCTCACAAATTGCAATTGTCTTGAGTACTTACCCTTGCTTTGCGAGGAATTCATTGATGAAATGAGCCTTGTGAAGCTTTTTCTCAACATCCAAGACTGTGTTACCCTGGTGCTTGCATTGGTGATGGTAGTGACTGCCACTGTGGGGGGATTTATGGTTGTCTATGCCTGCAATAAGCAGATTAAATTTAGCCACTTGAATACCAAGAGGGATGGATAAATCACAGTCACAGAATCATTTTTCATTATTTATTTAGCCTCTTGAATACCCAGAATGACGGATATATCTGTCACAAATAAAATCCATTTGGAACCCAGAGCAACAGATATATCTGTCACAGAATTTTCACTAAAACTGCTCTCACTTTGGCATTTTTTATCCAATCTTCACAAAATATGTTTTAGAATGTATGTAATGGGTCTATGTTTACTATTCTTATGAAATTAAATATCAAACATTGTGTTTTTAGATGTAAATATCCAGAAAACTAGCAGAAAATGAAAAATGGTCTGGTTTCAAACCCTTTTTAGAGGCTGGTATTCAAGAGGTTAAACATGATACAGGCAGTTCTATGTTCACAAATATAAAAAAAAACATTGAATATATATAAAGATAATAAAATGGTATTTATAGTGGTCAGTCTTAAAATTCAATAAATCATATGGACCAACAACTTGTTAACAAATGTGACTTGACTTAATTTTTAAATGTAAGGACTTACACTTGTTAACAAACGTGACTCCACTAACTGTTTAAATATAAGCCTTGTAAAGACTTTCAACTTGTTAACAAACGTGACTTTACTTTCTGTTTAATATACACCTTAATGACTTCCAAGGTGCATCCTCCTAAGCAGGTGTCCAGAATCCGTACCTCCTTCTTCCCCCTGCTATAAGCAGTTAGCATTTCCCCGATTAAGAACTCGCAATTTGATTGGCTGTCGCAACACTGCGACAGAAATCATGTATACGTCATCGGCGCATAATAAGATCACGTGATTCAGTTTAATCGGGCGCGTCCAACTTGGTTATAGCAGGGGGTAAAAAGAAAGAAGATATTCTGGATTTTGAAGCCCTGTGATCGGAGGATGCCAAGGTGAGACATATGATATGTTACCACTGAATTTATGATGATGTTTACTTACATCTCCTGTCTCAATAAATCAATCAAAGTTTGGTGGAATAGTTTCAGAGATTGTTACAATATTACGATGTTACAATATTACGTACCATACAATACACAATGATTACTTCAATGAATGGCGTAATCATAAAACAGGCCCGTAACCAGCTTTTGCCAAGGGGGGTTCACTTGTCTAAAAATTCCCAAGGGAGGTTTGACAACTTTAGCCCACAATCACTGAAAAGTGCTCAGAATGGTGAAAACTGCATGATTTTGAAAGAAGTTTTGGCCAGGTGAGGTTTACTCCAAACCTCATTCCCCTCCCCTGGCTACAGGCCCATATATTTTGTTGTTTAATTCTTACCTGTTTTAAAGAAGTGTTTGTTTTTTTCTATCAGCTGTTCATACTCCTTAATTGCCGCTTCTAGGTCTGATGCCACAATTAGAGAACAGGCTGCTGATAGTATTAGGGCAACTAGTTGCCAGCCTCTGAAAAATCAGTGTTAATTTAGGTAATTCACTTGGAGGGATTGAATATGGGTATTATCCAAACCAGGAACATGTTATGTAATGTTTTATGTAATGTCAAATGATATCAAAAATTTATGCAGATAATGCACATATTAACTATTTTTCAGTATCTATTTTTATTTGACAAGAGTATAATTTGACATTAAATATTACAAATACTGTATATGTAAATAAAGTGCTGTAGACTTTGATAAAATCTTTTTCATAAAAATTCATTCCTTTTTGCTTACTTAAAGGAATATTCCTTGCCAAACCATCTCTCTCCTCATATGGTAGCTATAACCATATATATGCTTGCCATGTTCAGCAAAACACGCAAAAATGTTTTGATATGGTCAAATTTGATCACTTAAAAATGTGATGCTCAATTCCAGTAAGCTGCCATCTTTTAAAATTTCACACAGGAAGTGATGTCATCGACTCTCAACTTTGCATATAGCATTAGGTGAGGAGCTATTAAGAACTAGAAAAACTCCACGGAGTAGCAAATCCCACCGAACAAAAAAAAATTTGAGCCAAATCCATCCACTCGTATTTGAATTATTAAAGATTGTGTTTTTATGAAACATGGTTGCCATTTTGAAATTCAGCTGTCATCTTTAGATTCCTCCTTTAGCAGAGCTCCTATGTCCTGTCCAAAGGCATCAGCATATACATTTAATCCAAATCCGTCAACTGGTACTTTAGTTATCAAAGGTTATATTATTTTATGAAAAATGGCGGCCATTTTGAAATTTAGCTGCCATCTTGAAAATCCCTTCTCGAACAGAGCTCCAATGTCCCAAGGCATCAGCATGTAAAATTTGAACCAAATCCAGGTATTTGAGCTATCAAAGATAACATTTTTTTACAAAAAATGGCCACCATTTTGAAATATGGTGGCCATCTTGAAAATGTCCTCTTGAGCAAGGCTCCTTTGTACCCAGGCAACAGCATATAAAATTTGATCCAAATCCATTCAATGGTACTTGAGTTATCAAAAAAAATGGCTGCCATTTTGAAATATGGTGGCCATCTTGAAAATGTCTTCTTCAGCAAGGCTCCTTTGTACCTGGGCAACAGCATATAAAATTTGAACCAAATCCATCCACTAGTATTTGAGTAATCAAAGATTATATTTTTTCCGAAAAATGGCCGCCATTTTGAATTTAGAGGCCATATTGAAAATTCCTTCTCGAGCAAAGGTCCTACACCCATAAGGCATCAGCCTATAAAATTTGAATGAAATCCGTCAACCGGTATTTGAGTTATTGCCCGGACACACGAACGGACGGACGAACGGATGGACGAACAGATGGACGAAACAGACGGACGGCTTTTCTATATCACCCTCGAACTTCGTTCGGTGGGATAATTACAAAACCAGCTAAATATTATTTTTCAACTTTGTATCTTATTTAATCCTTCTGAAAATCTCTTCTTTTATTCTAAGTTGAATAGCCCTGAAAATATTTTTGCATAGAATGTAATGATCACTTGTCTAGAAGTGATTTTGTGCTACTTTCCTATACTGTTATGGGCAAGGTTATAGAAGTTGAGAGTTGATGACATCACTTTATGCAAGAAATCTTAAAAGATGGCAGCTCACTGGAAATAAGCACTAGATTTTTAAATGATCAATATTGACCATATTAAAACATTTTCTCATGTTTTGCTAAATATGGAAACTATATATATGATTATAGCTACCATATCAAGAGAGAAAGGGTCTGGCAAGGAATATTCCTTTAAGCAGGGCTTTGTGATAAGTTGCCATCTTTCAATAAGCAATTAGAAATATACATACAGCCAGTCTTAATGGAGTCACTTAAGGACAAATACAGAGTTATAAAACATTTTAACTTCATTGATGATCAGATAAGTCTACCGTTCCATTAAAGTCAATCACTTGAATTAATATAATAATCCTGTTCCTTTTTACACCATAATCACCAATACTACAATTCAAATATACACAAAAATTAGTTCTTTCTCTTTTAAATAATTATTTATCCGTTATACACTTATATTTACCTCATTTTTATAAGTAATCCAGTATGGCTGCCTATTGTAATAAGGAGTTTCAACTTAACTCCAGGCCATTTAACAGTACACAAGTTATTAGCACTTCCCCTCTAAATAATTTACGTTTTCCAATTGTTAACTCAAATAACTTAACACTTGAGTAATGTATGTTTCCTGGACTTTTTAAAATAAAAATGGAGTATGTATCTTTTTAATTAATTTATCTTACTTAATAATTCTACAATGTTTTGTATCTAGCACACTTAAAGCTGATGTTTTGATTTGTTTAGATTTTGTTCACAGGTTTTCTGTCACTGCATTAAGTGAGGGAGGCCGAAGACAAATCACATTTAAGGATGATATTCAGCTGAAAATCAATAATTCCTTCGTTAAAGGACACATAATAAATTCGAACTTCTTTACATCTGCCCAAAGTAGCAAATCCCCCTAACAAAATTCCTATCTATTCAAATGTTTATCAGATATTATAAATGGCCCAAATCCTTAATAAATGGATAAATGGACAAGAGTTCTTTATCTTTAATAAAGGTACTAAACATGTATATAATACATATACAGGGTGGTCCAAAAAAAATGGGACACTCGTATTTCAAAAATAAATATTGATTTTCTTGATGAAAACATGTCATATTATATACCAGTGGATAGGGAATTTACTTATCTTTAATTTGGTATATCATAAGTTCAAATTTATTATAATGTCTGTAATATATAATATGACATGTTTTCATCAAGAAAATCAATATTTATTTTTGAAATATGAGTGTCCCATTTTTTTGGACCACCCTGTATAATACAGTATTCATGCTTGTACTATGCTCTTTTGGTTTTGATGAAAAAGATGGCCTTTATTTTAAAGATAACAAACTCTCAGGAGAAGAATCGAAGAACATAGTATTGAACTACTTTTCGGTCCAACTGTAACAAATTCTTTTAAACAGAGGCCATTTTAAAACTGAATTCAATATTATTCTCTTCTTGTAAAATATGAACACACTCAACCAACTTTACATACAGTAAGTGTTTTCACACATACATAAAATCACTATATACAAATGTATGGCTATAATGGCGTTGCTGCCATACACGTTGCTCCAGCTCTTCAACTTCTACTCCAGGAGCAAAAAAAAAACACTGGCTTAAATCATTTTAAGTTAACATTAAAATCATTTGCATGGCATGATGCATGAAGGGTAGGTCTATGAATGATGATTTAAAGAAAGTTATAGGGCAGTGTATGTATATTTGTCCTTGATTAAAAAGTACATGCATCAATAAAGTACATCTAAGTGAATGGCTTATCTATAATTTATGGCCATTTAGAAGAAGTGAGACATTTACACTGCAAGGTCAAATAGTGCAAAAATACAGCTACACAAAAATGTCATACTTTGTCAACCACACCTTGTGATTTTGAATGACTCGATGGGAAAGGGTGCCTCAATAGATATTTACTCTAAAAGTCTAAATCATTTTAATCAACAAAAAAAAAAATTAAAAAAAAAAAATTACGTTATATAAGGCCATGACTGAACTAGTCTACTGGAGAAATGCATCCTTATTGAATAGCAGGTTGCATTTTTGGGGTCACCCTGTGAAATCCTCTTAAACATTGATGGAATTTGACCAACTGACAAAAGATTTGTTTCCTCAATATACTATATATTCATAACAAATTTCAATACATAATTAAACATTAAAATACAACAATGAATGATAATCAGTACACAATTTCAAGAGTATTCTGAATTCCAAAATCTGCTTTCATCAAGATAAAATGCTAAAACGTTAATATACCATCATTATATTACACAATATTTAATACATGTAACATACATGTATATTATTTTAGGCTATTTGTCTTTCAGCTTATGTATATCATTGTTTATATAATGTTATTGTACATGTCTGTTGCAAGCTGAATTGACAAATTATAGATACAAATTGGCAATTTCTAAAACAATGAGTTCTTCACATGTATACAATATTAACTATTTAGCCAAAGAGGAGAGAAGCTTTATGTTAGTTCATAGTTGAACTCATAATTACCTCTTTTAAGCACATCACCTTCGTTTGTTGCAAAATGTCATCATATCTTATCTAAACACTACACATTGCTGAGCTGAATTAATTCACATATTCATATTCCTTATTTGAAATATCAAATGGAGCATGGGATCCCTAGTGTCCATAAAGATACTAGATAGGTATTTTATAGATAGTTTAACAATTCACATATATACACAATTATATTGATACAACTTTATGTACAATCATTCATAATGCAGATCTCTATGAATAAGAGTCAAACTGTCTTGGAGTGCGTACCCTCCTTGTTCTTGTTGATGCGACAGTTCTCTCAACCTCCTTGGCTTCCGATGTACTCTTTCTTTTAGGCCGGCCTTTAGCTACACTTCCTCCAGTCTTGGGTTTCTTCGAAACACTCTGGACTGCCTCCTCTGACGGTGAGGAGCTTGTGCTGGTTTTAGTGCAAGAGGCAGTAACATTTTTAGACTCAGATTCACTTTGAGATGCACTTGTTGCACTTTGAGATGCACTTGTTACACTTTGGGATGCATTTTTTACACTTTCTGATGTGCTTGTTACACTTTGAGATGCACTTGTTACACTTTGAGATGCACTTGTTACACTTTGGGATGCACTTGTTACACTTGAAGCTGCACTAGTAACATTTTGAGATTCACCAGAACTACTTTGATTTACAAGTGCAGACACACTAATTACACTTTCAGAAGAACTAGTTAAACTTTGAGATGTTACAGTTACAGTTTGTGATGTTACAATATTGTCAGATTCACTCTGCAAAACAACTGGAGCACACTGAGATGTATTAATCCCAGCACCTTCTTGCTCTGAAGACTCTGTACTGGCATCCATGTGTTTCACTAATATTTCTTCAATTTTCTTTTGCGATATCATTCTCGGCTCCAAGTGTTTCACAGGGGTTGTCGGAATAGAGTCCAGAACAATTGGGGCGGGAGATTTAATAGTGGGACTTTTAGCCTCGGGAACATGCTTCGTGGGAGTGTTATCATTTTTTGGGATTATTTTAACAGTTGTTACTGTAGTTGGAGTAGCAGCATTTATGGAAACAATTTGTGGTAAAGTAGAAGCTTTCTGAGGTTGGAGCTTTGTCGGGGATGTTGCTGTAGAGCCACCTAGTGTCACCTTTGTTGGGGTAGTTGCATTCCTCTGACTTATTGTAGCAGCATATGATGCAGCCACAGTTGTAGATGTTTTCACTAAAGAACTTTTTGAAGACACTAAGGATGCAATGTCAGTAGTAATACTGGACTGCATAGTAGACTGACGCACAGATGTGGGGTTCCCAGTTTGCAATGCAGGAGTAATATTGGACTGTGTAGTAGACTGACGCGCAGATGTGGGGTTTCCAGATTGCAATGCAGGAGTTTGTCTGATAGGTGGTGTCAACGAAGTCCCCATGGTTTGTAACGCCTCTCTCATGATTGGTCGACTCTCGATGAGGGACGATACTTTCCCAAGAGTTTCTGCAGGGACTAATTTATGTCGGGACATCAGAGAAGATGAAGCACTGCTGTTAGTTGATCCAGTTCTGTGAGTGGAGGGAACAGTAGAGGGTTTAGTCACAGTTGTGTATGTCACTAACGTTGATGGAGCGCTTCCTGCTACTAAAATACCTTTTGTAACAGATACTTGCAATGGGCTGGTCTTACTGGGACCGGAAATCTCTATGGGGTGACTCATCATTTTAGCTTGGGCTGAATTCTCACTGGAACTGTTCAACATCTTAGCTTGCGTGATATCAGCAGTTCCAGGGGTAAAACTAGCAGTCAAAGGAAAGTCATGGAATTGATTCTTCCGTATAGCTTCTAGTTGATCTTTGTCCATCTCATTAAGCACTTCAGGGGTATCATCATCCAAACCCTCAGCATCAATCAATGCATCTTCATCATCCTTTTCAATGACTTGTTTTTCAGGTGTAGGTGTAAGCTGTGCTTGTATCACAGGCTTATTGGTGGATGCCACAGGTGTGGCATATATGCTTCCCTTAGTAAGGCTTGCCAGTAGGTGCTGAATCTGACTGGTTGAGGTTGCTGGCCCACTTACATGAACCATCAGACCCCCTTGTTGGCCAGGTGACTTCGCCATTAGACTCGCCTTACTCATCCCAGGCATCCCAGATAGAGTTCCTAGTGTATAAGGAAGACTACATACTGGAGAGGATGGGTGAGGGGATGCTCCTCGACTTAATGACAAACTCTGAAAATAGAAAACAGAAGTGCCACATTTAGAACATTAATTCAAAGTTCATAATATCAAAACATGTGAAAGTGGTTGATTAGCATGAATATAAAATTAAAATGGATAAGTAAACCATACAAAGAACACGAATCACATTTTGTCTTGTACAAAATGTTTAGATTATTATAAAGAGAATACATGTAATAATAGCATAATTCTAATCAAAGCCTGAATGCTCTCTATATTCTACAGTCTGATTTACTATATTGTACTAAAGGCTCAATTATTGTCATCTGATTGAAGTCTATTTAGGTCAATGGCTCATCAGAGTTTAATATCGGTCACCAAACACAACATATGTAGTCACTAAAGGGTGATGATGTATTACTACAGCTATGAACTCACCTGCTTATCTGCCCCAAGGGAATCTAGTTTAACAGGTGACATAGTGCGTGCCATGACAATCTGTCTCACACCAGGTGTTGTCGTGGTGCCATGCTGGAATATGATGCTCTGTCCCTGCCCAGCCCTGCCTACCTGACTGGTGGGGGGAGAGATCCCCTGTAGGGAGCCTATACCCCCTAGGGTTGTAGAAAGAGGGCTGCCACCCTTGTGGGACCCTGTGGGGCTTGACGTCACTGGAGGTTGGTTCACTGAAATTAAGTGAAATTGAATTGAATTATCAATTCATATTTAATCCATTTGATGATGTTATCATTAGCTTGGTAAAGATCTGATAATATTTGATGAAGTGTAACCATTGGACCAAAATGTGTAGGATTCTCTTTATTTCATCCACAGCCCAAATATATTTTTAGAAATACAATGGATCAAATTAAAGAGTTGTAGAATGTTGCAATGTCCAATAAACTCACTACTTTAGAGCACATTTGACAAATGGCACAGAACACTCTGACATGTTCATTTTCATTATCTGGCCATGACCATGGATAGACATATATATTATGATATTTTTATGAAGCAATAAATATCTCTTAATAAAATAAAAAAGTTAAAAATAAAAAAATGGATAGACAAAAAAGCAAGTTGTAAGCAAATCTCACCCATGAAAATATACATTATGTCATTAGATTATGTGACCTTAATTTCAGTTTATACCTTGTGAAGTCAGCAATCCAGTGAGTTCAAATGCTCCAGGGATGTGTTTCAGTTGAGTCACTGGGCTGGTAATAGGTGGCACTGTCTCATTATCCGGGCTACTCATTGATCGTATCGTACGCTTCTTTGCACTGCCACGCATACCATCATCTTGCTTCTTACGTTTTGTAGGCGTCTTTTTTCCTGAAATATTTTTGTGCAATTAATTTTCAAATGTTTGGATAAATCAGCATAGGAAACCCAAAGCCAGGTACTATAAGTTATTGAATGATTTGAAGTGCAATACAGGATATATTCTGTTCGAGAAATTCCGTATTGGAACGAGACGAAGTCGAGTGCCAATACAGAATATCGAGACAGAATATATCCTGTATTGCACTTCAAATCATTCAATAACGTTTTTATCGTGTTATCCTCTGTATTGCTACTGAGATTGTCTCCTCCGTACCAATATTTTCTGTATTGCGACGGAGATGATCAACGCGGACAATCTCAGTAGCAATACAGATTGGTACAGCACAAGAACTGACCAATCAGAGGGCTTCATTTTACAGATCATACGATAAACTTATATATCACATAGTACATTTTAACGTAACATAACAGTTTGACCGGTACTTAATCATTGCAAAAATGTTCCCAATAAACAGGTCTGCTTTTGCTGAGCCCGGAATAACAAGGCATTGAAAATATATTTGATAACAATAATTTAATGTACCTAATAGCTTTTGCTGTCAGCTTGGAGCAGCATGGCACTGAACTGATGGTGCATAAATGTTTAAAAAAAACTACTTGAAAGAATTACAGTAAATATTTGATGAATATTTAATAGCATTATAATGTACCTAATAATTTTTGTGCTTGTAGCTGCATGGCTATTGTCTGGTGCTGTTGCTGCTGTCGGATCTTGTTCTGTATGAAAGACTCAAACACTGACTGTGCACTTGTCATCTGGCCATCAGAATTCAGCTTACGGTTACGTGGTGCCTTCAGGGCATGGCCAGCAGAGGCAAGAGACATCAACTGTGAAAAAGACACTCAAATATACTTTCAAATATTCCCTTCTTCTCAGTCAGACAAGCTATGTACTAATGGCATTTTGAGTGAAGAGAAAATAAAAAAATAATGAAATTTGAATGCAGAGACTTTATAAATAAATAGTAAAAATAATTAACATTATTCTGGATGAAACACTTCTGCCTAAATCTACAAAACAAAACATTGAAACAGTAATTGTTTGTTAAATATATATTTTCAATGGTGTAAAATTTACTTAACCCCCACCTATGTCCCTCCTTTTCTAATTCTTATCAATTAATTAGTTAGTTCTTATTAATTAATTAGTCAATATTATTTCTCACCTCCACTGGGGTAGAAGGAGTGCTTGACCTTGACACTGACTTTTGGGGGGAGGGAAAGTCCACATGCATGTCTGATGTGTCCCTTGAATGTTTCCTCTTCTTTGGTTTCTTGCCTTCTAAATCTGCATGGAGATTGTCCAGCGTTGTAGGAATATTCTGAGTCAACACTCCACCCAGAAACTCTGAGATTTCATCCTGAAACACACAAACAGGACATTTTAGACATTAAGCTTTAAGTTTTCTTGAAGAATATTCAGTATGATAGGAATGTTCAAACTCAAGATTTCATCCTGAAACACACAAACAGGACATTTTAGACATTAAGCTTTAACCTTTTCTTAAAGAATAACCAGTAAACAAAGAATTTTAAAACTTAAGATTTCATCCTGAAACACACATACGAGACATTTTAGCTATAGACCTTCTATATTCTGCATGGAGATCTTCAGTGTGCTTGGAATATTTGGAATCAACGATCCACCAAGTAATTCAAATTTTATCCTGACATGTAAACACACATACATGATATTTTAGACATGAAGCCTTTACTCTGCATGGAATAAATGTGCAAGAGATTTTCCAAGTCAACCTCCACCCAGAAAGACATTTTAGACAGAGATATTTTCAGAGGACTCAGGTTCATTAAAGGCAGGTTCATTAAAGATTTATTTTATCAAGGAATTTCATTTCACCTGTACAAGTAAGCCATTAAATCACGGAGAAGCTTTAATGAAATTGATCCTCTCTTGGTATAAAATCCATATTATGCAATTATTTACCATCCATTAATTCAGTTTTTCCTAAGACGCCATATAAATACAATGGTAATGCAAATATACTTCTATAGAAATTGCTGAGCAAATTGATCTGCTTCAATTACAAGGCAAGTTTAGGCTATTAATTTTTTTAGTAACTACAACAAACTAATGAACATACTTGTCAATGACTGCAAAACTTTGTTCGGTAGGATAATAACATTCCTCATCTATACTCTAGAATACATTCTATTAAAGGGGCAATAAGGACTGTAGAGAGAATTTTTTATTTTTTCTGAGCTATCAGGTCAACATTTGGCTTAAAATCTTCTTTGACATACCTATTTTCTTAAAATGTGTGGATAAACTATCAATTTCAGCATTTAGAAGTGTAAATTCAGTTCAAAGCTTCTATAAAGGGAGTCCCACTTATAGATTTTTAAGATTCACCACATTTCAAGAGGAATATCAGCTGAAATAATGTTCATCCAGGGGATTTCTTTGTAGATAATAAATGTTAGTCCTGATGAAATATCAAAACAAAAATATATAATTTGACACTGGTCGTTGATCGTTGAATGGCCCCCCTGCACTAATTGTTGCACCTTTAAGTAAATTAATTGAGAGATTTAAAAACTAACTGAAATATTTGTTGTCTTTATACCATAAATGGCCCCTAGGAGTCAGGACTAGAACTTGGAATAAATTTGAAATAGAGGTTTCTGCCTTATTAAAAGTGTTGGCCTTTCGTTATATATTTTCAAAATGAACCATTTCACATGAACATATAAAGTATTGCCTGGACACTCAGGCAGACTGAATGACAGGCTTTCAGTCTATAACCCTACCAGACTTTAACCCTACCAGACTTTAACCCTACCAGACTTTAACCCTACCAGACTTTAACCCTATCAGTCTATAACCCTACCAGTCTATAATGGCCTAGTCACATAGCCCGGCCGATGTCCGGCATCGGTAGAGCTCGGTGGTTTTTTTTGGTGCCACCGAGCTCTCCTCATCGGAAGCAGAGCTCGGTGACGTGAACGGACTCCGTCTGGACATCTTCAGGTACTATACTTTCCAAGGCTCTGTCCCACATCGGCCGGAGCTCGGTCGGAGCTCGGCCGGTGTCCGTTAAAAAAACCTCGTCCTCTGGTTGTCTCAGATGCACGGGACACCGACCGATACTCGGCCGTGCACCGGCCGACGTGTGTTCTGATGTGGTTACGATGGGGCTGCGATGAGGGAGCTCGGTGAGAGCCCGGTGAAATTTAACTCCGAAGTTAAAATTTCACCGAGCTGCCACCGATGCTGTTTTAAGCAACAAACGCCACGGATGTCCGGCCGGTGTCCGGCCGGTGTTCGGCCGAGTTCGGTGAAAATTGCATCGCTGACTCATCGGAACCTCATCGGCCGGGCTATGTGACTAGGCCATAACCCTACCAGTCTATATATATTCATGCAGAAAATTACCTAATAAGCAATCAATATGATGCAGTCCTTAAATCATGACAAGAAGCATTTATTTCACATGCAAACTCCCATGAAATTAAAACCTTATCAGCAATACAACATACAATATCCTTACTCTCTTATCTTAATTTATTAAGCACTGTGCTCATTAATGAATACTCATGGGTATTGGATATCAAAATAGTGACTTTGCAGTAATAGACCTCTCTCAAATATTATTGGGATGATTATTGACTATTTCTAGTATAGTGTAGTGATACAACTTTTTCTAAATTATTAATATACATTGTACTTGAAAAAATTACTTTTGAACAACCAGGTTGGAGGTTGATGTTTTGCTTATAATTAGCAAGCATCTTTTTACTTAGATGGAGCGGGCTCAAATACCAGCAAAGATATTGTTTTTTTCTTTTTTGGACCACAATAAATTTTCCCGATCTCTTTTCATATGACATATTGTCATAGATTTATTACTTTTAGTGGTTTTAATTTAGAGATTAAATGTAATGTCCCTTTAATTTCTAGCATGTTTGATTAATTTGGATGTTTCCTTGATTTGGCATTTGATGAAATTAAGCAAACGGAATGGAATGAACTTGAACTTGTAATCATTGTAAATGTCCATTTAATCTTCCTCTGGATACTCTGGACCAGTTTATATTAGATTTTATCTGATTCTATGGTATAAACAAGACAGTAATGGTCCATTATTTCCCTTGTTTAATAGGCCTGGAATCCTTATAAGACCAACCCTGGTTGTTATCCCATTGAGTTGGGGGATATAGAGAACTGTTCTCTGTCTGCTGGTGAGCCGTAATTTTGAAAAAACAGCGGCCATTTTTACATGTTTTATTTTAGATTTTCACTATAACTTGAAAAGTATTAGAAATATTTTGTTGAAATTTCAAATGTGATATTACAAGCATTCCACTTTCTTATGACAATATGGCTAGTGAGTGGCCAATTTGAAAAATGATGGCCATTTTTTATGCTTTTTTTAAATTGTTGCTATAACTGGAAAAAAATAGAGGAGCGATTTTGTTGAAATTTTATGAGTGAATACTGTACTGAGAAGCATAAACTATCCAATGACACTTTAGGTAAAAAGTGGCCAATTTGAAAAAGGTGGCCATTTTTATGTGTGTTATTCTACATTTTTGCTAACTGAAAAAGTAGTGGAGCAATTTTGTTGAAATTTTATTATGTGAATAGTGAGATTATTGTTTTCATGTGATACTTAGAATTATAGTGCACTAATGATAATTTGGCTAAAAGGTGGCCATTTCCAAAAATGGCAGCCACAGCTTTTCGATCAGATTTGCTGCGCCAAGTTGAAAAATACATTCTAAATATTACATTGCTACTTCTTAATTCAGATTTCATTTTGTTAGTTTTGGATTTGCTACTCTAAGGAGTAGGAGTAAGCAGTTTTCAGTTTAGAATTTATATAATAAAGAATTTGATACTGACACTGGAATTTTACATCATAAAGCATCACAAATAACAAGGCTTAATTTTCCTTGGAAATGACTGATGTGGTATATGATTAGTCCTACCTGATAAACTAGACAACAGCAACGCCAAAGCGTAGCAAATCCCATCAAACAGCCATAGCTGGTATTTTAACAAACAAAGTATATAGCAAAAATGGCAGCCATTTTTCAAAATAGCCACCTCTACCAAAAGTGTCATTAGACTGAGTGTGCCATGCCTATAGTATTCACATACCAAATATGAAGAAAATCGCTCCACTACTTTTCCAGGTATAGTAAACTACGTTAAAATGGTGGCCATTTTTCAAAATGGCCGCCTTCAATCAAAAGTGTCATTAGACAGTGTGCCATGCTTATAGTATTCACATACCAAATATGAACAAAATCGCTCCACTACTTTTCGAGTTACAGCAAAGATTATAAAATAACAAGTAAAGGCCGCCATTTTTCAAGATGGCTGCCACTGACATACGTATGGATGGACGGACGGACGCGTTCCCTATATCCCTCCCACCTTCATTCGATGGGATAATTAATTAGGGGGAACTAATTTGAAAGAAAAAATCTCATCTTTATATGACCTTCAGACATCCTGCCATGATTCTGATGAAAAAATCTCATGAATTTAATTTACCTAATCATAAAATACTACATCA